CCCTCACCTGGTTCTACTGGTTCAGCCCTCTCCGCCTCAGCGCCATCTTCCTCTGCGACATCAGCGACAGCCCCACAGAAGCGCCTTTCGGCACGCCGTGGACGGGTGGCGTCGATGCGTGGCACTGGGGGCCCGAGCACGTCGTCCGAAGGGCTGGCTTCTTCGTGCATCGGCCGCCGTGGGCCGCCAGCAGCTACCAGCAGAGCCCGCGTATCGAGGTGCCTCCAAAATCGAGCATGCCCAAGAAATGGTGCCCGTATCGGATCTCCGCGTGACATGTGATACGCAGGTGATGCGGGTCGGCCCGATCGAGCAGCCGGGCTTCGCAGAGGGAGGAAGCGACGCGCTCTGGTTCTTCCACGCGATCGGCTCGGGCATCTACGTGCCGACATCTGTCTTTAGCAAGCTCGTCGTGAGGTGCACATCGCACGCACGCACGCATGAACACGCTCGCACGAGGACGTGCCTGCTCTCGTCTGGCGATCTCTCTAGCACGAGATTCCCCCACGACCAGGTACGCACGCCGGACGAGCGGCCGCGGGCTCATCGCCGTCCCACGGATCGAGCTCGTGGGCCACCTGCCGAGGATTTGGCCTCGAGCCGGACCGCCACCCCCCCCGCCGAGGCCGGCTCCGCACCGGCGAGCAGCGCCGCTCCGGAAGCTGACTCTGGGCCTGCAGAGGAGCCAGCCTAGCGTGCCCGACCCCGCTCGGGCCGCGCGGGCGAGGTCGGGCGCGTGCGTGGCGCCCCCGCCGTACTGCGCGTCGGCCGAGCAGTTCTGGCCTGCGATGCTGCGCTTCGAGCTCTTCGACGGCCGCGCGTGCGAGAGCACCGCCAAGCAGAAGCGTATCCTCTCGTGCGCCAACCTGCCCGTGCCGACCTGGCCGGGCGTTGACCCGATGCCCCACGCACGCAAGCTTCGCCCCCGCCGACCCGGCAAGCAGGCTGCTTCGCTGCCGCTCTCCCTTCGTCTGGCCGTCGTGGCGGGGGCGGCTGCAGTGGTCCTGTACGTGGCGTGGGCGGTGTATGGGCTCTCTTCGGTGGATTAGATTTGAGGTAGCCATAGCCACATAGAGCACACATAGAGAGTAATAGTGCCTCATCGCTCTACCGTCTAGAGACTACGGTGTCCGTCGTCATAGTTCATACGGCGTTAGAAGAGATAGACACAGTGAGACGAGTCGACATATACGATAGTTATAGATAGCGAGTGCACACTTTGACGTTTGAGATTGAGTGCGCACAGTCACGCAGTACACAGAGAGGTGGTGTCCGAGGAGGCCACCGGCCAAAAGCGCATGTCTTGAAGGTCCGATACTGGAAGCCCATATAGGCACCTTTTACAGGGGTGGATTAGGGTCGTTTTCACTTAACACCGAAATATAAGGCTCGCCACCCTCACGACTGGCTAGCTGGGACGGATCAGGCACGCGTGATTTTGGAGGGGGAGCAGGTGCGTCACGTGCTCCTTGTGCAGCTCGCAGCGGGTGGCCTTTTCCCTTCGGCCCGCAAAGACCGCGTACTCGATGGCGACGCACTCGGCTCGCTGCTCGCAGCGGCTCATACACCCCTGCTCGCTCACGTCCCACACCTCGTCGTAGCTGCCGTCGTTGCCGCCCTGCGTCTTGCACGCGCCCTGCCTCGAGCCGCTCCGGGGGGGCGGCATCCACTGCCCGCCGGTGGGAAGCGGCACCCGACGGCGCGTGCGTGCGAGCTGGGAGAGGACGGGCAGCGGCGGCGGTGGTGGCCGCGCCAACGGCCGAGGCGGCGGCGGGCCGAGGTGGTGGCGGGGGCGCACAGGCTGCACAGGCTGGACTGCCTGCTGCGGCAGAGGCTGTGGCCACGGTGCGGTGGCGGTGGCACTGGCGACTCGGGCGGGGCAGGTCGGCTCCGCCTGCGGGCAACGGCTGCCGGCGGCGGCGCACGAGACGGGGCAGACCTCGCACATGGTGCAGTTGAGCCCGTCGACGCCGCACGGCAGCTCCAGCCCGGGCCGATCCACGCAGAGCGAGCGAGCGTCTGGGCAGGTGCAGTGCTGCCGGCCGGCGTGCTGCTTCGACGGCGGCCCGGTGCACTTTCGGTGGACGATGGTCGTCTTGGGCGCGTCGACCGCGCCGCCGATCCAGTGCGCCGCCGCGGCGGCGAACGTGGTGGGCGGAGCCGCTTCCGCACAGCCGGCGCAGGCCCCGCCGCAGCCGTCGTCGTCGCCCGCCGCCTTGCCTGCGCACGAGCACTGCGGCGCCGCGGACTCGTCGACGGCGCCCGAGAAGTCCTGAGAGAGCCAGACCGCGCCGCTGGCGGTCCATGCGAAGCCGCAAGAGACGGCACTGTGCTCGGGCGAGCGCATCGTCTCCCAGTGCCCCTTCATCCCGGGCGTGTAAGGGTGGAGCCCGATTCCCTCGTCCCACATCCCCTGCAGGCAGTGGTCCAGGTACTTGACGACGGCGTCGAACGTCACCACCGGCGTCGCGTCGTTGAAGGCGCCGCCGCCGCGGGCGCAGCAGGTATTTTGGCCGCCGCCGCCCTTGGTCGGGCAGGAGAAGCTGGTGTGGTGGCCGCCCTGACAGCCGCCGCCGTTGTTGTTCGAGAAGAGGAGGTCACCCATGGCCATACGCGACGAACAGCGGTGGTTGCCGCTCCACTCGACGAGCGGAGAGAGGCCGGCGGCGACGTTCGAGTCGACAGTGCCGTCGGAGAAGGCGAGCGTGCCGGCGCGGTACATGTTTATACGGTCGACGCAGTACGAGTGCAGCTGCTCAAGCTCGCACACGGAGATGGTCGGCGGCCGGAAGATGTAGCTGCCCGCCGCGACGCCATTCTGGTGGCCAGCGGCCTTGGGGTCGGGCGCGCCAGCCACGTGGGAGCCTCTGCTGGTGAAGTGGCCGTCGGCCGTGTGGTCCACGCACACGGCGGCGGTCCTCACGCCGCGCGCAGAACCCAGGCGACGGCGCCGCGAGCGGGTGCCGTTTGGCTGCGTGGTCGGCAGCAGCGCACGCATAGCTGGGAGGTGGTGCAAGGTGGTGGTGTCGAAGAGAATGGGCTCTTCCCAGGAAAGGGTCGTCGACACGACTGCGACGGTCGCGAACATGGTTCGCGCAAGACACAGCTTTTTTAGCCGCCATTCTCGGTCAGTTCCACTGCCAGCTTCAATCCAAGCCTGAACTCCTCACTGCAGCTCTCTCTCTCTCTCTGCATCGCTGCAGAGTGTCCCTTGTAATGGTTGATTTTTTCTTTCTTGTTTCTAGCGATCGTGGATGGATCTCTCTAAATAAATAAAACGGACACACCAAACTATGGAGGACCCGTCGCCAGACGACGCAGGGCAGAAGACGGGGAGGCGGAGCAGACGCGCAGGGCGAGACGAGGGAGGGAGCAGGACTTTGCGGAGATCAGCAGGAGGATGTACGAAGAGATTAGGAGCAGCAGGGACCCGAGGGACCATGTGGAAGACGGCTAGTGCTAGTCCCCCATCGGGAGGACGACCCCGGCTAGTCGCCGACCACACCCACAAAGAACCCTGCACAAAGATCGCAAGGGCGGGGGCCTGTTCCTTTTTACCCATCTCACAGTAGAGAGGTGTCCGTATTTATTTATTTATTTAGAAAGAGAGAGAGAGAGCTCTCTCGGCTACGGGACCGGCCCCAGCTTCGGCTGAGGGCTGACAAGCTGCCGAGCCCAAATCACTGTGAGAGTCGTGATTTCTTGTTGGTTTTCTAAAATCTCTCTCTCCCAAACAAGGGGTGGGAGAAGGACAGGGTCCCCACCTGCACGAGCAGGATCTTGTAAGGACGATCAGGGCTTGGGCTCAACGAGGTTTGCCTCTCGCACCCTGTCTGTTTTCCTTTCCTTTTTTCTCTACAACACCCTCTCTTTTCCTCTCTATTTTCCCGGGAAAACTGCGTGGAAATCGTCAAATTTTTGGCTCTGAGCCGAGTCTGAGGCTGGTTTGGGCCCAAAATCAGCCAAATTTTAGGCCAAATCGGCAAAATGCCGGGAATTTCGCGGAGAACCCGTGTATACCTGGAAATTACCCTGCGACCGCCTGGGTATTTTGTCGATTTCCTCAATTTTGCCTCAGATTTTGCCCCAGACCAGCTCTCAGACTCAGGGAAACTCGCGAGTTTCCAGAATGGAGCACCAAACACCCTCTGCTTTCCCTGGAAATTTCCGGAAACGCAAAGTGCTGGGGACCCTCTTGGAGCACTTGCCTCTGTTTTCCTTTTTGTTTTCCGGAAAACCTCGTTGAGCCCAATCAGGGACACAGGGGAACGGGAGCGGGGATCTCTCTGTCTCTCTCTTGGATCGATCAGGTGTAGTTTATTTTTGCTTGGGCGGCCAGCATGCCGGGGTACGTAGGGTAGGTCTGGGCTGTCCCGTCGGGTTTTTCCCTCTCTTCACGCCGGAATTTTCAAAAAAGAAAATTTCCGCCGAAATCACGATGTCAACCCTCCCCAAGTGGGTGATCTGGTGCTTGTAGGGCTTGAGAGTGGCCTGTCATGTCTCAGGAAGGACTGTGGTTGCAGGAGAGTACCACCAACCATCACTTTAGTTGGTATAGTACACCCCACCTTCACCCGTCCCATGATTTCTTTTTTAGTTTCCCATAAGTAGGGTAGGTAGGTAGGTAGGTATAGGTAGGGGCACCGCAGGGGCCGGTCAGGTTTTTGCAGAATTTCATTCAGCATGCTGGCCGCCCAAGCAAAAATACCCCAAATGACGTGTGAGTGTTAGAGTTGTTTGGTATTGCTAAAAATCTCTCTCTCTCAAAAATAAACTACACCTGGATCGATCCGCTTTCTTTCGAAAGCTGTACAGCTACCGGTGAGAGGAATGACGCTAGCTAGACAGGGAGATGACGGTACGCTGGAGCGGCGCTTCTATCGCCCATTTGTCGTAGGGTTGACTCTCGCGCTGTGGCTGCGGTTTCTCGGCGTTGAAGGAGAGGGCAAAGGCGGCGCATGCGCGGCGGCCAGTCATAGGTGAGGCGGCCTCGAACCCCCATGCAGGCCGCGGTTGGTGACGCGCACGTTGCTGCTGGACGAAAGTCGGTCGGCGACGCGCGCGCTGCTGCTGGACAGTGGCTCGCTTCCAAGGAGATGTTTAGCTCGGTTGGCGACGCGCGAGTTGAGGGCGTGCCCTACCCGCAGTGGAACCCGAAGCCGTCTCCCGCCGCCGGCAGCGTTGACCAGACCGTGCAGCGAGAGCGGGTCGCCCGTGCGGCAAAGGCGAGTTATTCGCGGGCGACGGCAGGCTCCAGCGAGAGCTACGAGAAGGCGCTGGACGCAGTGGCGCGGCTAGAGAGTGCCGACCCAGACAGGGCGGCTGCGATGCGTGCCACGCTGGCTCGCACGAGGGCCGCCGAGCTCTCCGCTGCCGCCAAAGGAAAGCCTCCCAAGCCTCCCGCGGTGCAGGTGCCTCCACCCAAGCCTCCCGTGCAGCCGGCGTTGGAGCGGGTGGCGGCGGCTGCCACAGCCACCGGCGCCACGCAGTCGCCCAAGCGGGAGCGTCCTCAGCCCGCTCAGATTGCCAAGCTGCGTGCGGCAAACAGCCCGGCCGACTCGGCTCCGTCCTCGCCCTCCGAGTCGGGGTGGAAATGGCCGAAGCTGTTCATCGACGTCAACGGCGGCGGCTCGCGGCGGTCTCAGTCCTCCGCCCCGCCCGTTAAGGCCGGGAGCGCGCGCCCGGCGCCACTCCGCGCCGGCGGAATGCCGACGACGGCGGCGGCGTCGCCGAGCGGCTACGTCGAGCACCGCGCGGGAGGGTTTGCATACCTCCAGCTTTCGCCGGGCGCCGCCACGCCCGGCGCCAGCGCCGCCTCTCGCAGCTTCAGCCTCGACACGGCCGGCCTCGACTCTGGCTCGGCGCTTAGCAGGAGCGGAGCTCCGGCCGTGGCGGCGCTCACCGTGCAGACGAGCGACGCGTCGGACCAAGCGCCGCCCTCGTCGCCGCGCACCGCCGCGAGTGCCGCGGCGGCGGTCCTGGACAGCATGGGCTCCGCGCTCGAGAGTTTTGCCGCCAAGACGGAGCAGGCAGCCGAGCGAATGTCGCCTCGCGCCTCTCCACGCGCCTCTCCGCGTGCCTCTCCTCGCGCCTCTCCGCGCGCCTCTCCGCGCGCCTCTAGAGGCGCCTCTCCGCGCGCCTCTCCCTTTCCGTACAACGACACGCCGGCGCTGCCGCGCTCCCTGTTTGACTCCGCCGCCACGGGCGAGACCCCTCCGAGCACGCCGCTGCGCCGGGCGGTTGCGACGCCGCTGACCACGGCCAAGGAGGCGCCCGTGCCGATGGGCTTCATCCTGCTCGGCCTCATCCTCACGGGCGGCGCGGCGCACACGGCGTACCAGCTCCACCTCGCCTCGCAGCGAGGCGAGGGCGGCGGGGGCGGGGGCGGGGCCGGCGAAGGCGGGGCCGGCGGGGGTGGGGGCGGGGGCGGGGGCGGGGCGGGCGCAGCGTCGCACCAGTCAGGCGGCGGGCCGGGGGCCTCTGCAGGGTCGAGGACGCCGCCCGCCGCGGGGGCGAGTGGGCGCGGGGCGGCGGCGTGGCTTGCGAGGGGCGGCGTCTCGTCCAAGCGGTCGTACCTCGAGTACGTGCGCATGATGGGCGGTCCTCCCGAGGGGCTGCTCTGCTCGGAGGACTGCTCCTCGGTCGCAGACGACCTGACCTACTGGAGGACGATGGAGCGGAGGGTGTCCCGCTCCGCAGACGGCGTCTGCGACGACGGCGGCGACGGCTCCGAGTGGTCCACCTGCGCCTACGGCTCGGACTGCGAGGACTGCGGCTGGCGCTGGGAGAAGGACGCGGCGGGCGCCAGCGCGGCGAGGGAGGCGGCGAGGGGGGCGGCGATGTGGAGCACCCTCGCATCGCCACCGCTCCCGCCACCGCCGCTGCCGCCGCGGCCGCCACCGCCACCGCCGCCGCCGCCGCCGCTCTCGCCGCCGCCAGCGCCGCCGCCTCCCTCCTCGCCGCCGCCGCTCCCGCCGCCGCCGGTCCTTGTGGCGACGCTGAAGGTGGTGAGGAGAGACGCGTGGCACGCGCCGCTGACTCGCCCGCTCGCCCCGCTGGCGGCGGTCGGCCTGGCGGTGCCGTCCCCGTATGAGTACCACGAGTACGTAGAGTACGCGTATGCGGACGCGCCGGTGCAGCCGCCAACCCCCCCGCCGCCTCTCGCTGCGGAGGCGCCGTTGCCGATGCCGCCGCCGGAAGGTGCGCCGCTGGAGCCGCCGCCTCCTCCCCCGCCGCCGCGGGCCCCGCTGCCCGCTTCGCCGGGGGGCGGCTTGTTCCTCGACTTTGCCTTTGGCGTCCCAGCGGAGCCCTTTGGGGGCTTCGGCTGACGCGTCCGCCCGATGCACCACTTCTCCCCGCTCGCCGTGTGTGTGATACTGTCTCCGATCCTGTGGGACCTCCCGGGCCACCGCACCGGCACCAGAGGCCTGAGTGGGGGCACGGCGAGTCGCGCGTGCGGCGTGGGCGTGGCCGCGTCGCGCGTGGGTGCGGCGTGGCCCGGGTTTTCCGGTGCTGGGTTTTCCATGTGTGTCTATGTGCGTCCGTCCAGCCTCTGTGTCGCGCGTGTCCTCGCTCTCGCTGTCGCTCGGCGCGGTCGGGCCTCGGGAGACGCGCGCGCCGGGGGAGACCGCGCGACTTACCGCGCAAGTTACCGCGCGCGGCCCGCAGAGGGAGAGCGGAGAGGCGAGAGCCGACTCTCGCGACCACTGGCCGACTGCCGAGAGCCGAGAGGCAGAGGGGAGTCCGGAAGTGGCCGGCGGCTTCAGTGCGCGTCACGTTAAATGCGGCTCTCATTTATTATTGCGTATTATGCAAAAAGACTCGTGGCGAGACGACTCGCTGTCAGAGACAAGCTCCTATATTTGCCGGGGGGGCGCTGTGTGGGCGGGGCCGCCATCTCGATGCCCGTCCTCAGCGGCGAGAGAGGGAGGGGGAACCCCCCCCCGTCGCCGCCGCTGGGCCGCCCTTTCATCGAGGACTTCCCGCCGCCGCCCCCCCGGCATCCCGGAGGCGCGCGGTGTGCCGCGCGGCCGCGCGGCCTAGCCCTACTGCCACTGCTCGGTCGGGGCGGCGCCCCACTCGCCGGTGGGCACGCCGGTCGCGGGCATGGACCAGTCGCCGGCGGGGGGCGCGGCGGGGGGCGCGGGCTGGCCGCCCCAGTCGGCGCCGGCCGGCTGCGGCTGATCCCAGTCCGTCGTCGGCGGCGCCACGTCCATCTCGAGGGGGGCGACCTCGCGCGCGGCCGCCTCCTCCTTTGCCTGCGCCTCGACCTCCTCGGGGTCGCGGTAGAAGAAGAGGTCGACCATGACGTCCCAGGGCTGGGAGCGGTGGATGGTGCCGCGCAGGCGGAGCACCTCGCGCGCCAGCATCCAGTAGAGCAGCCCGATCGAGTGCTTGCCCTTGTTGTTTGCCGGGATGGCGACGTCGATGTGCTTCAGCGGCGAGTCGGTGTCGCAGAAGGCGATGGTGGGGATGTTGGCGTAGGCGGACTCGGCGATGGCCTGGTGGTCGGTGCGCGGGTCCGTCAGGAGCAGCAGCCGCGGCTCCATGAACTTGTTCGTGATCTGGTTGGTGAAGGTGCCCGGCGTGAAGCGGCCGGCGATCGGCGTCGCGCCCGTGTACTGGCAGTACTTGAGGATGGAGCGCTGGCCGTAGGGGCGGGCCGAGATGACGCACACATCGGCGGGGTTCTCGATCGCGACGATGATGCGCGCCGCGAGCTGCAGCTTGTCGTACGTGCGGCCGAGGTTGATGATGTGGATCCCGTCCGGCTTGCGCTTCCACACGTAGCGCGTCATCTGGTAGTCCAGGTTCTTGGTGCCGAGGTGGGTCGAGCACGCAAGCATCATCTGGAAGTCCTTCTTCTTCTGCTCCTCGCTGATGTAGTTCATCGACATGGCTGCTGAACTGCGGCGAGGTGGAGAGGCAAGAGCGACGCGCACTCTTAGTCTGTTTCTTTTTACTAGCAGGTTGGCTCGCTAGTCGCTCGCCGGGCCCGCGCAGCACGCGCGGGCCTTTTTTGTGGTTGATAAAGGTGACACCTTCGACATTGCACTTGGAGCACTTGGAGTGCCGATTGCGTTTCTTTTCTTTATAGGAGAGAGAGTTGTATTGTCTAAATTCTTTATGCTGTCCTCCTATTTTTACTATTTAGGATTCCTAAGCTTAAAGGCCCGCTAAACGCGCGAGGCGGTGGCGGCGGTGGTGCGGGGGATTGGCAGGGGAGGCGGCGGGATTGACAGGGGATGGGGCGGCCACGAGCGGAGCGGCGGCGAGAGGGGGGGCGGCGGCGAGGCGCCGGCGAGCGAGGCGCCCGCGCCATCAGAGGGACGCGCCGCTGCGAGATGGAGGGCGGCGGTGACGGAGGCAAGGCGCGAGGCGGCGGCGGCGGCGGCGGCGGCGGCGGAGGCGGCGGCGGCGGCGGCGGCGGCGAGAACGGCGGCACCGAGTTGTCTCGGTGAGCGGAGCGGCGGCAGGAGGAGGAGCAGCTCGCTGTTGAGCGCTTTTGAGCCTGGGATCCCATGTCACTGCGACCGGCGTGCCCGGGAACAGAGATCGCGCGCGCGCCGCCACTCACGACGCGCGCGCGATCTTCGCGGAGTCGGGTCCCCAGAGGGAAGCGGTCTTCTCGGCCGACGTCCAGCGGCGCGCAAGGAAGCAGGCGCAGCGGTGCACCGCGGCGCGTTGATTCGCGACCACCGTCGGCCGCGGACGACGGCGGCGTGGCGGCCGCGGGCGCTCGCGAGACGCGCCGCTCTGCTCTGGTACGGTTCGTTCGACTCGTTGTGCCGCCACACGCCCGGCGGCCGCGGGTCCCAGAAGTGGTTGCGCGGGCCTCTTCCTTGCGGCCGCGGGACGGCGTCGGGCACGTCGTCGGTCGCAACAGATGCGCGGCGAGCCGAGGCACGTCGTTGCTGGCGCTGGTGGTTTGAGGTCGGCATCGTCCAGAGCTCGGTCGAAGAGTCGAGAGCTTCGCTGGCCGAGGGTGACACCTTCTGCTCTTTGTGCACGAAATGGGAAATATATCTCGTTGATGGTTAGTTCTCGAGGTTCTCGAGGTGGATATCCTTTGGCCGCGTTGGGTAGCGAGGATTGGTGTAACCCGAGCCACGGAGGCGTGTTTTCTGACGGCCGACCGTCAGTGCACGGAGTTGCCACTTCTCCGACTGCCCCGGCTAGTTCCCGAGGCTCGCCGGGTTTCCCCTACGTCACCCAGGACCTAGCGCGGGTGGGTTGGAGGGGGCTCGCCCCGTTCCTCCCCATCGGGCCGCGTGAGCGGCCACGCCTCGCAGATTCGTTTCTCGCGCCTGGGTCAGGCGCGCGGGGCATCCCCCGGGTCGCTCGACCAGCGATCCGAAGAGTGGCCGCTATGCGAAGGAAAGAGTGGGGCCCTCGGGGTACGCCTCGTCCGGCCCCCTCCGAGGGGGGAAGGGAATTGCGGGGTCCCCTCGGGCGCCTCAGTTCGGCCCTCCCGAGGGGGGGAGGGGAGCAAGGGGGTGGGGGGGTCGGGGCGGTGGGGAGGGGTCTCGGATTTCATGTGGCTAAGACTTGCCTTTCGGGGAGGGGCCTCGCGCCAAGCGCAATTGAATGCTGCCTGATGGTTAGTACCTTCGGTTAAAGTGCTTCGAGCGTGCGTTCTTCCCCTGCGCGTCTGCGCCTGCGGCGCCGGACGCGGCTTCCCCGCGATTTTGCAAAACAGTGGCCAGGGGCGGGGCTTTCTCTTGCACTTTTGCCGTCGCCAGTCGCACTCACTCCCAAACGCTACAACGGGGGCGGCGGCGGTGGCGGGGGCGGCGGCGGCGGCGCGACGGGGTTGGTAGGGGGGTGGGGAGGCTGCCGTGCTTGAGTCACAACTTGAGAGCACGAGCTGCCGTGTCGCGTGTGCGCTGCGCGTGCCGTGGCACCGACCGGGCAGCCGGAGTGGCGGGTGCCCAGACAGACTTTGGACCCCACAATGCCCCCAAAACCCCAGTACAACATAAAGTAAACGCACCAACTGACTGGCGCGATCCCCCAGCAGTCCAGAGACGTAGGCTGACAGCGCTGCGGGCCCCGTGCCGGAATCGAGCCCGGCCACAGGCCATGGCTCGAGAGCGCTTACGCTCCGAGCCACCGCTGCACGCACGCTAGACTAGACTGCTACGGTTCCCCCAAGTCCTCACCCCCCCCCCCCCCCCTTCCCTCACGCAGAGTCAGTGTTCAGCGCTCACTCAAGGAGTGGCCAAGGCCCGCGCATGCAGGGATGGTCGGGTGATCGATCTGCAAATTACATGCGCGCCTTGCTTGGTTGTGCGTTGCACGGTTGCACTAGCATGCCGCTCCGCCGGCCGCTCAGGGTATCGGGCCGTAAATGCCGCCTGGCCACAACTCGCGGTCTCCTGTGATCATCGGCCCGATTCCCCCTTCTCTGCCCCAGTAGAACCCAAGCCGGTTCACAAATTTGTTAGTACTGCCGTGAAAGCCGACGAGGACCATGCCATCGGGTGGATACATATCATACGGCCCATTTCCGCCATTCCCCCCATAAGGCCCGCAGATTTCACCGCTCTTCTTATAAAACGTCAATTGGTCGAGATCGCTTCCGATTCGCATGCGTACATACACAATTGGGTCGCCATCGGGGACGTCGCAGACGACGTTGTTGGCCCCCCCGTCCCCGCCGTGCTTGTTTGTTTTTTTCTCTTGCCACTGGTAAGTTGTTTGGATCGAATCAACCACATTGCCCCAATGAATTCTGATCTTCTTGATACCCATCCCCCTCCTGAAACCTTCTTGCCACCTCCAGGGCTCATAATAATCAGTCTTATCATCGAAGCGATCGCTGTCCTGAAGAGGAGCGGTGTAGTCAGTCCTGAAGAGCGGATTACCGAACTTTTGTTCAAGCGCTACGTCAAAGGCCGGGTTCAGTACGATTCCGAGCCCGTTTAGCACTCCGAGCCCGTTTAGCACGCTCTTGATCGAGACAAATTGTGCCACGGTAGACGGTTTTCCAAGACGGCCAAGGTCATTGCGAATAGCACAGGCGGCTTTGGCTAATGTTGTGCCTGGCTTGGGGTCGGTCAGCAGGTCTATACCTTCTGGGATTCCGTAAGTTGCCGTAGAGACCTCAGTCTGCGCTTTTTCATAAAACTCTTCGTTATGCGACTGCATGGCGTTCTTCACGGAGGTCTTTACTCCAGCCCCTGCAGTCGGCGTTTGCACGTCAAGCCCTGCTGAGATCATCGAAGAAGCGTTCTTTTCTTGCGCCTCGGAAGTGGCCGAGAAGCTCGTCTCAATCGTGTACTCGAGGGCCGCGCTGAAGTCGTATTGCTGGGGTATGTAGAATCCGCCATTCACGAAGCTTTGGAAGACGGCTGATTGCGAAAATTCAAGTTTAGTTTTGAGAGCTGCTAGCTCCTTGATATCATCCAGAAACTTCTGCTTGAAGACGAGCTTCTTGATATCATCGAATGTTCTCCCCATTTTGGTTCCAGAGTCTTCCAGGCAACGATTGGAGAGCTTGCCCACAATCTCGCGATGTTGCTTCAGCCCCATCGCCTTCCGTTTCGTGCTGGTTTTATCAGAAGCATCTTTCTGGCTCTGCTCGTAGCCGGCGGAGACGGTGACTATGCCGTAGGATGCTTGTCCTGAAACTTCAAGGCCAGTGGTTTTTTCTACCGAAGCCTCATAGTTCTCCCGGCTCGTGGCTGTACTCTCATAGAAGGATTGTTCAGTGGCCCCCCTCATATCAAAGCCGAAGCACCCTTTAGCAATCATCACAGCCAGGGCGCCATACCTGAAAACCTCAGTGTTGATAGCCCCCTCCTCCTCCCTGAGGATCTGGTCGATCGACTCGGTGAGCAAGGTCTTTGTCTTGTAAGGGCCAAGAATCGGAAGTGTCTGAGTTCCGTCAGGATTGGACCATATGAAGCATGCGAGCTTTTCTTCGGGAGTGTTGGGTGCATTGCAGCCAACTTCAATCTTTTCGATGTATTTCCCGAGGTTGAGGTCGCCGTTCTCGGTTCCGTCATCTTTGAAGAATGTTTTGTACTTCTCCACTGTAAAGTCGACTGCCTCAGGAAACTTGGCGGTGACTTGCTTTTCCGCTGGTGACGTGCATTGTGATGAGTCAACAAACAGCTGGCAGGGGAACCGAGCCTCGTTCACGTTGACAAAGTTGGACGTCTCCGCCGAGACGTAGCCGGTGTAGTGCACGCACGGGTGGCCCTCCCATGCCGTCTCATCGTCGCTGCAGGCGCGGTGCTCCTCCACCTCGAAGACGGAGATGCCCCACGCCTGACTCGTCTGCTCGTCGGCGCTGCACGTGGACGTCGGCTCGAGCAGCGCGATATTCTTGTGGTCCCACGCGGGCGACGCTAGCGCGTCCGCCTCGTTCTGGTCGCCCTCGATGGCGTTCGCCTTGTGGTACGGAAAGTCGGTGAACTTGACCGCCGTCTGCGGGTAGTAGTTGAAGGAGATGTCGGCCACAAAGTGATTTACGATGTTGCCAGGCGCATCGTCGTTCACGATGTCGCGCTCATTCATGACGACCTTGAGGCTCGAGCAGAAGCCGGACGTGGCGATGAGCCAGTTCGGATCTTCGACCACGTCGGGCACCGCCGGGCCGGGCGCGGGGTTGAACGGAGCAAACAGTGGCCCGCGCCCAGTCTCGGTCGGGAGGGCCGTCGCGTCGGGCACGACGATCGAAGGGAGAAGGCTGTCAGAGCCGTGCGAGAAGTAGGCGACGGCCCCGCCGCCCGCGATGAGGCAGATGAAGACGGCGCAGAGCGCGTTGTGCAAGCAGAGCTTGGGCCACGAGAGCCAGCCGGAGGCGGAGACGGAGCCCTTCGGCGTGGCAGTCGTGGTCCGCTTGCGGTTGGCCGTCTTGGGGTTGGCCGTCTTGGGGGTCTTGTGCTTGACCTTCTTGGGCGTCGAGGTCGGCTCCGTCTCCTGCACGGCG